CGTGGGGTGGAGACCACAATTGTGCAGAGTCCACATCTGGATTGTGATTCCACCCTAAAACATCTGGCTCTGCAATCTGGCAATAGGCAGTGACATCCATGCCACACCACAGACCAAAATTTTGGACTCTGCATTATGAAAAGGGTTCTGCGCCATAACTGATCCTACCCAACACAGAGACAGCGTCTTCTTTTTATCAATTTCTCTGTGTTTTAATAGTAACTAAGAATGCACAGGAAGATAACTTATCAATAGTTATAAATGTGACCCGGTTTAGGGTAGTTTATGTAGAAATAGCTTTGCAATGGTTGGTCTTAAACTAAGTTTAGACCTACTGAAGTCAAGGGACCCAGCTTAGTCCTGTTGTTAATTTCATTCCCCCCCCCCCAAAAAAAATTACTCATTTTATAACACAAATAAAGAACACATACAGAAAAGACAAGCAATACAAACAAATTCTTGTCATATCCTTATTTTTCTAAACATTGTTAGGTGGGCTTCCCCAAGTCCCACCTATCGGATTTTCATTTTACTTCATCTTTAGCAGTTTACATATATCACAATTTCTAAACCATCTTCCCCCCCCACACACACACTTACTTTAACCATAAAAACTTCACATTTTATCACTTATAAAATACACTAAGGGACGCGGGTGGCGCTGTGGGTAAAAGCCTCAGCGCCTAGGACTTGCCGATCGAAAGGTCGGCGGTTCGAATCCCCGTGGCGGGTTGCGCTCCCATTGCTCGGTCCCAGCGCCTGCCAACCTAGCAGTTCGAAAGCACCCCCGGGTGCAAGTAGATAAATAGGGGACCGCTTACTGGCGGGAAGGTAAACGGCATTTCCGTGTGCTGTGCTGGCTCGCCAGATGCAGCTTTGTCACGCTGGCCACGTGACCCAGAAATGTCTCCGGACAGCGCTGGCCCCCGGCCTCTTGAGTGAGATGGGCGCACAACCCTAGAGTCTGTCAAGACTGGCCTGTACGGGCAGGGGTACCTTTAAAATACACTATCTTCTACTTCTAACCCTACCGCCTATCTCCACTTCCAAAGCTATTCTAAGATTTAAATATTAACATATTTTTTCAAATATTCCTTAAACTTCTTCCAGTCTTCTTCCACCGTCTCTTCTCTCTGGTCTCGGAGTCTCTCGGTCAGTTCCATCTGTTTGTTAATTTCAGCGGTTGCAATGTACGGGCACACATTTTGCTCAAAAGGTTGAATAACCCAACTGTGCAGGAAGGAAGGAAAACGCCTCAGTTCAGGAAGATCCCTAAAAGCTCCCCGTGTGAATGCGAGTGATAACACCGGCCCTGCCATCTCCTCTCTGCGCCCTGGTTTCTCGGTCACCCCCTGGCTCTAGATGACCCACATTCGGTGCCAAAAATACTCTGACCTTTTCAGAACCCCCTGCAGGCCTGGCAACCTCTTGGGTGCCCCAGGAAGGAAGGAAGGAAGGAAGGAAGGAAGGAAGGAAGGAAGGAAGATGAGAGCCTATGTGGTTCGGAAACTTCAGCTGGTGCAGAATTCAGCGGCCAGGTTGCTCACCCGATCAAGACAGTCTGAGCATATTACTGTCGGTTTGCAAGCCCCCTCCACAGAGGCTGGTCCCACTTACTGTCCTCGGAGCTTGCATACCGGTAACCTCCTCTGGCTGATATCCAGACAGACCAGGGAAATTTTGATAGGCGACATTTTCCTAAGCGTGGGTAAAATGCACAACCCCTTCCTCCTGCTTCCGCAGGGGAAAGAAAATAAGTCAGAAATCTATTAAATAACCCAATAGATTAAGATGAACTTTAACAGGGAGAAATGTAAAGTATTGCACTTGGGCAAAAAAAATGAGAGTCACAAATACAAGATGGGTGACACCTGGCTTGAGAGCAGTACATGTGAAAAGGATCTAGGAGTCTTGGTTGACCACAAACTTGACATGAGCCAACAGTGTGACGCGGCAGCTAAAAAAGCCAATGCAATTCTGGGCTGCATCAATAGGAGTATAGCATCTAGATCAAGGGAAGTAATAGTGCCACTGTATTCTGCTCTGGTCAGACCTCACCTGGAGTACTGTGTCCAGTTCTGGGCACCACAGTTCAAGAAGGACACTGACAAACTGGAACGTGTCCAGAGGAGGGCAACCAAAATGGTCAAAGGCCTGGAAACGATGCCTTATGAGGAACGGCTAAGGGAGCCGGGCATGTTTAGCCTGGAGAAGAGGAGGTTAAGGGGTGATATGATAGCCATGTTCAAATATATAAAAGGATGTCACATAGAGGAGGGAGAAAGGTTGTTTTCTGCTGCTCCAGAGAAGCGGACACGGAGCAATGGATCCAAACTACAAGAAAGAAGATTCCACCTAAACATTAGGAAGAACTTCCTGACAGTAAGAGCTGTTTGACAGTGGAATTTGCTGCCAAGGAGTGTAGTGGAGTCTCCTTCTTTGGAGGTCTTTAAGCAGAAGCTTGACAACCATATGTCAGGAGTGCTCTGATGGTGTTTCCTGCTTGGCAGGGGGTTGGACTCGATGGCCCTTGTGGTCTATTCCAACTCTATGATTCTATGATTCTATGATTCTATTTACATGATGTTTATTTCTGACATTACAGCACTAGAGAAAAACACGGCCTTTCAGTTCAGTTCTTCTAGCACGTCTGACAAACTTCCTGAACATGCGCAGTCGGAAGGTTTCAAATTACACTCTTCACAAAGACTAATCCAGCCTGTGAACGTCCTGGGAAATTCTTCTTTCCCACAGATAGGCGCATCAAGTGATGTCAACAATCTGGCTGTATGCAGCAGTGATGTTTCCATATACTGACATCTACATCGATCCTGGTCCGACTGCACTGGCTACCAATTTGTTTCCAGGCCCAATTCAAAGTGCTAGTTTTGACCCATAAAGCCTTAAATGGCCCAGGACCGCAATACTTCAAGGACCGCCTCTCTCCATATGAACCTACCCGGACCCTGAGAGCATCTTCTGAGGCCCTCCTTCATGTGTCTCCTCCTCAAGAGGTCTGGAGGCTGAAAGATGTTTAAATATACTTTCCCCAAAAAACCGGAAGCATTTCTGCTGGGGTTGATGGGGCAGAAATTGACCTCGCTGATGGGGTCCAAAGGAGAGAGAGGTTGTAGAGAAATGGAATTCAGAATATATATACTGTACCAATTGTGTAGCAGCTATAATAACAATGACAGTAACAGTAATTTATTTATACCCCACCCATCTGGCTGGGTTTCCCCAGCACTCTGGACAGCTCCAACAGAATATTAAAAACACAATAAAGTATCAAACATTAAAAACTTCCCTAAACTGGACTGCTTTCAGAAGTCTTCTAAAAGTCAGGTAGTTTATTTCTTTGACATCTGATGGAAAGGCGTTCCACAGTATGTTTCTGAGCACAATTTGAAGCGTTAAAGCCCTAAACGCCCTCGGCCCAGTATACCTGAAGGAGCTTCTCCACCTCTGCCTGGTTCCCTGTAACTTGGCTTCTCGCAGCGAGGGAACCGCCAGAAGGCCCTCAGTGCTGGACCTCAGTGTCCGGGCTGAACGATGGGGGTGGAGACGCTCCTTCAGGTATACTGGACCGAGGCCGTTTAGGGCTTTAAAAGTCAGCACCAACACTTTGAATTGGACTCAGAAACGAACTGCATGCTGAACAACTGCAACAAAGTTTTGCAGCGTCAGATGCCGCTGTTCACAGTCCATCAGACACACATCTTCCAGGATGTTCCATTCCATTTCTCTTGCTACAGGTTCTCCTGTACAGTCATACCCCGTGTTGCGTTAGGTTCGTGTTGCGTCTTTTCAGCTTGCGAACGCAGCAAACCTGGAAATGTATACTTCCGGGTTTCACTGAGCGCATGCAGAACCGTTCTGCACACTTCGCAGATGCACAGAAGCACTCTGTTGCGCTCCGCGTTTGCGCAGAAGCGCAGCTGTAGTTGGGAACTTTTTGGGGTGAGAATGGCACCCCGGAACAGATCGTGTCCACAACTAGAGGTACCACTGTATGCCAATAAAGGAGATAGATAGATGATAGATAGATAGATATAGATAGATAGATAGATAGATAGATAGATAGATAGATGATAGATAGACAGATAGATAGATGATAGATAGACAGATAGATAGATAGATAGATAGATAGATAGATAGATAGATAGATATAGATAGATAGATGATGATGATAGATAGATAGATAGATAGATAGATAGATAGATAGATAGATAGATGATAGATAGATAGAGATGATAGATGATAGATGATAGATAGATAGATAGATAGATGATAGATGATAGATATAGATAGATAGATAGATAGATAGATAGATAGATAGATAGATAGATAGATAGATAGATAGATGATAGATAGATAGATATAGATAGATGATAGATAGATAGATAGATAGATGATAGATAGATAGATTAAAGGAATCTTAACAGCAATTCAAGTTTGGTTTCTGAAAACCACACGTTCCTTTGCGTCTTTCTGTGTATTATAAACCACTCTCCAGCGAAGGGTCCTTTAACTCTTCCAGCCAGGTGTTACAAAGTCAGAGGAAACTCAAAGCAAAAGTTTGTGGGGAAATGGGATGGTTATAGATGGTTATAGATATGTTCAAAAATAAAATAAAAGTTTTGACTCTGTGCTAGTATTTGAGTGATAAAGGAAGTAAAAGGAGGTGGATAACAATTAAGGATTTATTATGTTTTCAGAATGTATTGGAAAATTTATATAGAAAGGTGTATTGTTTTGTGTACATTCGATTGTAAGATAAAACATATGCGAAGGGACTTGACAGGAAGTCAAAATTGAAGAAAAGATTATGTAAGGTAAAAGGGGGGAAATATTTACTTTCCTTATTATCATTTGTGTGTGTGTGTGTGTGTGTTTGTATGGTATGTTTGGGAGGAAATAAGATGGTAAATAACAAATAAGAAACAAAAAAATCCAGCCGGGTGTTACAGTTTGCCTGTCTCTCGCCTTCCTCCCCGCAGGGAAGTGATCCAGATCGACCAGTTCCTGAAGGAGACGGCGGCCCGCGAGGCCAACGCCAAAGTCCGCCTCCAGCAGTTCATTGAGGAGCTCCTGGATCGGGCCGACCGAGCCGAGAAGCAGCTGCAGATCATCAGTAGCAGCTGTGGGACGACCCCAACTGCAGCCTGGGGAGGTGCAGCGTGTCTGGGACCAAGAGCACAGGAAGACCGGTACCCGAAAGATGCCCGTTCTAAGCATATAGGAAACTGCTCTATACTGAGTCCGACACATCGGTCCCTCTAGCCTTAGTGTGACCTACACTGACCGGCAGCAGCGGCTCTCAGGCAGGGTTCTCTCCCAATCCTCCTTGGAGATCCTGGGGGTTGAACCCAGGACACCTTGACGTACGAGGCCGATGCTGCCCCACTGAGCCGCCCCTTAGCAAGGGGGCAATTCTGCCTAGCAAATGGCTCTGGAAGGCCCAATCGCCTTCTCAATCCAGCCCATGGACAGTCCAGGAATCAGCATGTTTTTACATGAGTAGAATGTGTCCTTTTATTTAAAATGCATCTCCGGGTTATTTGTGGGGCCTGCCTGGTGTTTTCACATGAGTAGAATGTGTGCTTTTATTTAAAATGCATCTCTGGGTTATTTGTGGGGCATAGGAATTCATTCATTCCCCCCCCCAAAAAAAAATATAGTCCGGCCCCCCACAAGGTCTGAGGGACAGTGGACCGGCCCCTGCTGAAAAAGTTTGCTGACCCCTGTTTTAGAGGCAGGAATCATGTATCGCCAGGGTCTCTTCTGTGATGCTCATGGGGGGTGAAATGGGGAGGTAGTTCTGCTCAAGCACTCTGTATCTCATCCATTGAGGGGGTGAAGGAGTCTTCTGATCCCCAGTTTCTTGTCTCCGCAGAGAGACAGGCACTCGGTTCCCGGAGCAACAGCACACAGTTCGTATGCGGTTTCCAACCAAAGATCATCTTCCAGCACCGGGTAAGGAATTGTTTGTTTGTTTCATAAAATTTAGACACTGCTTGACTGGGAAACAAACAACCATTCTCAAAAATGATAAAGCAATAAAATTAACCGAGAAAAATGAGAACAATAATTTAAGTGAAAATACAAACAGGCTATAAAAACAGATGAAAACTCGCATCAACTTTCAAAACGTCTGGGTAAAGGTAAAGGGTAAAGGGACCCCTGACCATTAGGTCCAGTTGTGGCCAACTCTGGGGTTGCGGCGCTCATCTCGCTTTATTGGCCGAGGGAGCCAGCGTACAGCTTCTGGGTCATGTGGCCAGCATGACTAAGCCGCTTCTGGCGAACCAGAGCAGCACACAGAAACACCGTTTACCTTCCCGCCAGAGTGGTACCTATTTATCTACTTGCACTTTGACATGCTTTTGACCTGCTAGGTTGGCAGGAGCAGGGACAGAGCAACGGGAGTTCACCCCGTCGCGGGGATTTGAACCGCCGACCTTCCAATCGGTGTGGCGATCACACAGGGTCCCTGGATGTTTCACCGTCTATTGATGCCTGTGCCACCACTTTATTTCTCTCTGCCACCGCCCAGGCCCTACCTGGTACAATACTGAGTCCAGTCAGGGTTAAATTGGAATATAAACTTCTGTTTATTTATTGCCGTTTAAGTGTGTGGTTTCATAAACGGTATTGGTCAATTACAATCATGGGGTGCCTATCCAGACCTATAATTTCCACTACCTGCTCCCACTCACTAAACCATCTCTCAGATATTTGCTTGTCTTCCTAGCCCCTAACTGTTCCTGACTCAGCTTATTGCGCTACACTAACTCCACCTCCCCACAGACTCTATCCCAATTCACTCCCACTCCAACCAACCTCCCAGCTCCCAACAAACTCCTTCCCTTTGCCCCTCCCAGAGCTGGTTTTATAGTCCCTCTGACTCCACCCCCTGGGTTCTGATTGGGCAACCTGTTTAACTATTTCACCATCACTCTCATATGTTAACGTCAGAATCGGCAAGCCCTAGGCTCTGTGGTTTAGACCACAGTGCCACCCACGTCCCTTGTCTAAACGGGAGTGTTTTTAGCAGGTGCCGGGAAAAGTAACATGATGCTGCCTGCCTGATAACAATGGGCAGGGAGTTCCAAAATATAGTTCTTACAAATACAGAATAGGTATAACATACCCGTCAACCGGCCCGGAACAGAAATGGGCTGGTCTGGATGGCCTTTGGGTGCCCCTTCCTGCTAGCGCTTCCCTTCTGTGCTTCCAGAGCCTCTAGCCGTGCCAAAGCCGTCTCCCAGAGCTCCGGCTGCTACGACAGCGACAGCCCCGAGCTGTACCAGGGGGACGAGAACGCCGACGGGCAGTCCTACCAGGGCGGGCAGAACCGAGGTTCGGACAGTGCTTTCGACAGGCCTGGTGGAGTGAGGGCTTCGGGTCTCCGCAGGCAGGCCATCCAGAACTGGCACCGCCGCCCTTACCGGAACAGCACCGAGGGCGAAGAAGGAGACATCTCTGACGTGGGCTCCAGGACCACTGAGTCGGAGGCCGAGATGTGGGAGACCGAGCCCCCGGCTGAGGCTCAGCAGGAGAATTTCTCCAGGTCCAGAAACAGCTCGAGGCTGCAGGGTGAGTCTCCTCTCCTGCAGAGAGCAGGACATAGTGGGTTTTATTCCATAAACCATGTTTATTACGATGTTTAAGGCAGCTTCTATTGGGTCAGAGCAACAGCGGCCATTGGGAACTCCAAAAAGCGAAGTCTGCGGTCCTAGAAATTCTGCTGCTATTGGCATCCATCTGTATCGAGAGAGCAGAGTTGAATTCCTGACGCCCAGAAACATATTTTTAAGCCCTGTTTCTGAAGAAACTTGCCAAAATTAAGTCTCCCTCCTTAAGACTCGCTGATGTTTAGAATGTTAATTTTCTTGTGTACTATTCTGTTCCAATAGATCGTCGACTATTGCTTTATTTGATATAAGTCATTCGTTTTAAAGTTATGTTGGATAATGACTTCCTGTATTGGATCAGATTGTTGTAAGACGTGTTGTATATGTTGTTGCCGCAAACCGCCTTGTGTATCATAATATACAAAGGTGGTAGAGAGGTACCTCGGTTTTCAGACATCTCCGTTGCCGAACTTTTTGGCTTTCGAATGCTGAAAACCCGGATGTAAATGCTTCCGTTTTCGAACGTGCCTTGAAAGTCGAACGGCTTCTGCTGTGTGTACCTGTTGTTTTTCCACAATTTTCTCTACTGAATTGGCAGGCCACTCGGCCTTGTAACATTTCGGAAGTCGAACGGTCTTCCGGAACGGATTACGTTCGAAAACCGAGGTACCACTGTACCTACAAATTAAAAAGTGAAATGAAATGGAAAATGAAAACAAAATAACACACCCTAATGTGCCCAGACAACTTTATGGATCTCTTATGTCACAGCCAGGTCTGAAGGAGGGAAGGCAGTCCGGCCGGAGAGAGGCAGCCCGGCTCGCTCAAACGAGGTCATCAGCCCCGAAATCCTCAAGATGCGAGCCGCTCTCTTCTGCATCTTCACGTACCTCGACACCAAGACACTGCTGAGGGCAGCCGAGGTCTGCAAGGACTGGAAGTTTGTGGCCCGGCACCCTGCCGTGTGGACCCGGGTGCTCCTGGAGAACGCCAGGGTGTCGTCTAAGGTGAGTCTCGAGATTGCAGTGGCTTACTAGCTTTTGTTGGTTTTTTGTGTTGTTGTTTTTTTTAAAAAAAATTATTTGATTTTACAAGCAAAAAGTTGTAACAATACCAAAGACATATCCATATATTTCTCTGAATCCCTCGACTTCCTTCCTTCCTCTCCATGGGTTGTCAACATTTTCAGCTGCGTATTATTACAGAATCCATATTTTGTATCTTTCCATATTAGTGTTGTTAAAATCCTGCTAATATTTTCATCTGCTTACAGTGGTCTCCCAAGGTAGATTATAAACTTTCCCCATTCTTTCTTGAAGTTATTGTCTTCTTGGTTCCCGAGCTTTCTAGTCAGTTTTGCCATTTCGGCATATTCTAACAGCTTAATTTGCCATTCCTCTCTGGTGGGGATTTTATCTTCTTTCCATCTTTAGGCTAGTACCATCCTTTTTTTTGCTTTGTTTTTTTTTTAAATTGAACTCTATGATCCAAATATTGCGCCCATTTTCTCATATGTGTATCCTGGTTCTGATCCAAGTTTAACCAGAGCTTATAGGATTTTGAAGTTATGCCTGTATCCAAATGGGAGATAATAAATAATAAAATGTAAAGAAATATACAATAATAAGAGTACATTCATTTGTAAAAAAAAAAAGAAAAAAAGAATATACACCGAGATTGAAAGGAAGTCTGTGGTGTTGGTACGAATATTATTTTGAAATGGCTTTATGTCTTTGTTTTTTCTTTGTTTTGTTTTTTTGTTTTTTCTTTCTTTAGGTACATAAATTTGGTATATAAGCTTTGTATACATGTTGGAAATTATATTATAATATGCTCTGTAATGTAATATGATATGATATGTGACATAAGAACGTTAAGAAAGAAAGAAAGAAAGAAAGAAAGAAAGAAAGAAAGAAAGAAAGAAAGCAAGCAGGTCAGGGCCTGGCAGGATGCGGATGAGTGGCGCTTGCCTGGCATTTAATGTCCCTTGTCCTTCCACAGTTCTTGGTCATGCTGTCACAGTGGTGCACCCAAACACATTCCCTCACCCTCCAGAACCTCAAGCCCCGTCAGAGGGGGAAGAAGGAGACCAAGGAGGACTACATGAAAAGCACACGGTGAGTCAGACCCTCCTGGCAAGTCGGTCAGGGAGATTGACAAGCCGGAAGGTGTGCAGAGGTGGGTGTCAGATGCTGGTGATGGTTGCTTGTGAGTAGCCAGGCAGGACTCCGACCTGTCCTTTACAGGTTTTATTGTGCAAACTATTTACAATGCAGATCCACAAAGTTCATGTCCGTCTTAGTCACTTGCAGAATCCGGGAGTGGCCCCTTCCGGTTTCTCCCCCAACATAAGAACTTCGACACCCCAAGCCTCCGCCTCCCCTCCTTTTGTTTCACCCCTCTGCGCAAGCTGGGTGACGGAAGGGGTGTGCGTCCCTCCTGGCCAGCCTGGCTAGGTGAGGCGCTGGGGCTCTGAGCAGCATCCTCGAGCCCTTTCTTCACTTGGCTGGCCCCTTCCCCCTCTTCTCCACTGGAGGTGTGGCTTTCCCCACCGCTGGAAGAGGAACTGCTCCTCAGGAATTTCAGAGGCTCTCTGTGTTAAGTTGTGGGTGAACATATCAGACAACACAGCGATTCTTCAAACAGCTCTTGTTTATTCACAGGCCAGGACAGAACTGAACTGAAGAGTTCAGTCAGCCTGCTTATATAGAGCTCCAGTACAACGTAACTGTAACAATTTTCTAAAACTATCCAATCACTGAACGTCACTTTCGATCCCTTATTTGCATAACTATCTACAGTATCCCCCTGCTGGCCCAGGGTGAGAACTTCAGTACATAACA